GGCTCCCCCGCCGGCCAACGCACGCAGCGCAGACCGGCCGAGGTGGATGGGGGCGGCACTTGAGCGCACTGAAGTGTGTCTGCCCGGGGCACCTACGCTTCCACTCCCGGCGGTGCCTACAAAACTAGGTCGAATCCAGCCGCAGTCTGGAAGACATTTCTTGCGGCCGGCTGCTCTGATCTGTAGTTTCCAGTGGTTTCTCCGATCAACACCAGGCGTATGACGGAGCAGTACCCTAACAAACGGGCTACCTTGCCTTCATCTTCCTCGTCATATCCTCGCTCCTTACACACACTTACGCTTACATGCACTACACTATCACACTTCGAAAAACTAGTCCGGAAATTGAGATTGCCCTGCTGGGAGATACCTGGTTCGATAAAACCTACAAACCGATAGGTAGGTCGGCTCTCTCCGGATCTCGCCATCTAGCGAAGAAAGATCATACCCACCTCCCGAGATAAAAGCTTCGCCCACAGTTACAAGACTATTGACCTTACCAGTCGACACGTCCGGAATCACTAATCAATCAATCAATCAATCAATCAAGCGCGAGGGCAGCTTCTCGACGAAATTCTAGCGCACAATTTAACAGGAACTATGCGTGTGTTTATCATTCATCTTTTACCATCTGTTTATCAAATCGTTCACATTATTAGATTTTGCATAATCTAGTAGCTGTGGCATCTTCCACTAGACGTATATTTTGTTCCCAATTTATTCTCATTTGTTTGATAATTCTTTCGGGGCTTACAAAAATCTATATAACATTTTGTGATTGATAATCTAAGTTAATAAATCACTTTATGACTTTAACTTCAATTTTTCTACATTAAAAAAAGGAACATTTTGATTGTACCAACTTTTAATTTTACATTAATTAATAATTTGATCACAAATACGTTACATAAATAGCTGTATATATTGAAGTAATATGTAATTAAATATGTGTCCTTATTTGATCACAAATATGTTTCATAAATAAATGAATATATTGAAGTAATATTTAATTAAAGATGTGTCCTAATAACTTTTAGCAATAACACAAATCTACAGTGTCGTTCAACAAAAATAACACACTTTTAAATTCACACTATTTTCAAAATAATTTAAATGTGTATGAATTTGCAATTTGTTTTTCTTCAAACATTTGCCAAATTTACATGCTTTTGGCTATTTCTTGGAAAGAGTGTTCGTCTCGTCAAAATTCCATTAATAATGTGTATTCAGGATGACGCACGGTCACATGTTTTACATACTTGCACATTAAATAATAATAATAATAATAATAATAATAATAACAATGATAATGATAATAATAATAATAATAATAATAATAATAATAACAACAATGATAATGATAATAATAATAATAATAATAATAATAATAATAATAATAATAATAATATCGTATTGATGTCCCTATCTCGCTAGCCCACATCATCTCGAAGAAAAGGAATAAAAAAATTGTAAAATATCAACCTCTGGCGAATGAGAGAAAGGAAATGTGAAGCGACGTGGAATTGATGACTTATGTTTTGTGGCTCCTTGATACCGAAAAACGGCGAAGCGTGACTCTCAGTTCGTCTGTGAACAACGCTAACGCTTAAACTGTTAAGCCTTTTTTAATTTTTTTATAAAATTTAGATTCTCCAATCGATCTTGCTGATGTCGCGGCCCTTTGAATTTGAAACCCATATTTTACCCATGTTTGGGGGGGGGGTACATTACATGAAGCCTCCGTGACATATTTTAAATTTTCAAAAAAATAAATGGCTCCATCGTTTGTTTTTGAAAATATTTTTATACAGAATGAAGGACGCTTAAAACATTCGTGCAGGTCTCACGTTCGTTCAAACCCTAATTTTTCGAAAATTGCAAAAGTTCAACATATTTAGGAGTTTTTCTAGAAGTACAATATTATAGATAGAAATTGTTTCCTTTAATGAAATCTGTTCGTTAAAGATAGCTTTTGAAATAGTGTGTATTTTTTCGTAATTTTGCCTGAAAATACGGGCGAGAAAGTACATGCTGTTTTAGCGCCACTAGGTTAGTAGAATAGATATAGATTTAACTGTACGCATTATACTATACACAAAGAGTACTGTTTCAATACTTTAACATTGTGTATGTTGCAGTGAGGATGGGGCGGGCAATCGCAGTGGCAGATGCTTGTGCGCAGTGAAGACGCGCTAGATCCTTGAACTGTGCGGCTGGTTGCGTACAGTTCAGGGGCGCTTCAGTCGTCATAAACGAATTAATAATCATCAACAACGCCTTCCTATAACCGATTTATTCAAACCCGTTTTTAAACAACCGCATAACTAATAAGAACAAATTGTGAGAGTTTCAGTGAAATCGGTCGAGTAGTTTTTGTGAGATATACATACGCACATTCCCTTTTATTTCAATATAGATACAGGTAGATTTAGATTAGATATGTAGATCGTATATAGACGTCGATTTAATTAATTAGCACATAGATATGTTTGTTGGTCATGAGTGTTTGGTGTTGTGCGTGTGTGCAGGGAGGATGCGGTGGGCGAGCGTGTGGTGGTGGGCGGTGGCGCTGGCGCTGGCGGTGGGCGCGCGCGCGCAGGGCGGGGCCGAGGGCGACCGCTGCTCGTCGCCCGAGGGGCGGCCGGTGCGTGTGCGCAACATCCGCCGCTGCGCGCCGCGCTGGAGCCTGCCTGCGGCTCGCAGCGCCAGGCGGCCGACGCCGCTGACTACCTGCGCCGCCTCCGTGTGCGGCTATGACGCCCTCGACCCCATCTGTGCTGCTGCCCGACGCCTGTACACGCGCTCCCCTCCCCGAGCCAGCGCCTGCGCCCGATGTGCGGCTTCAGCAACGCCAGCCATACCGCGTCGTCGGGGGCTGCCCGCCGTGCGAGGTGGAGACACGGCCCTGCCCGCCGCCGCCTTCATTCCTCTACAAGACATATTACCTTTCAACCCACAAAAACCTTCACCCTCCCCCCCCCCATAAACGTTATCCAAAACATTCTCAGTACCCCAAAACTGATTTACCTCCTCACAGTAACTTCACCCTGGTCAATTAGCAAATGATAATCAGTAATTTAACCTATCGTCCAATAATTAGCAATCAAATTCAAATGGCCTAACGACCTATCTATATTTATTTCAATTTAATAATACGTCATTAGTCATTATATTAGAACTTTTGCACCTTCCGAAACTGGGGAATGCGAAGGGAATAATCCAGATTATAACAGTTATATAAAGTACCTATGAATTACCTTATTTTGCTTAGTAAAGCTTTCACAACAGAAACCTATCTTTCTTCCTAAAAAAAAAACAAATTAAATTCTGGGAACTTCACCAGTTTACAGAGCGGGTCCCCCGCAGCTGCCAGAACGAGTAGCTGTAATGATTCAAAAATCTCCGTCATAACTTACTCCCTCCAGATTACGCCAGGCTCCGAAAAATATAGGAATTGCCCTGTCATATCAGCAGGACCCCCACTGATACTCAAATGCATGTTTTAACTCCCACACCATAACATTAAACAAGCCCATCTTCGCGCACGAAGGGTCCACAAAGATGAAATATGGTATAATATGTTACAAATATATTAAATAAAATAATGTATCGTTCATATGCACCCACTACTCTCCATCGGTACATAACTCTGAAATGATGCGCCTTAAACTAATTTCCACTTACCTTAGCAAGCAATATCGTTTGTTTTCTAAGCCCTAATATACAAAATGGGACGTTTTTAGGACGTTTTACTCCAGCTTAGCGTTTTAAGAAAAAATTACTCTATATTGTCTTTTGTGTACGGGAAAGGATTGTTATTATAATAGTATAAAATTGTATAATAATTTTCGCATTTGAAACAATAATGGGTTACTGAGTTAGTAGTGATGTATTTTTTTTCACTAAAGGGTAACATTAGATTTAAAACAACGGGTACTTGAGACAGTGTATTTGACTTTCAAAGGACTTCGTCTGTTCTCTCTGAGCCAAGTGACCCTGTAATTCAAACTCTAGGCAAACGACACACGCTGGGAATATTTGTTCACCCTCGCACTTGATGTAATAAGAACAAAAGTCAAAAAATTATAGTGGATACACTATTTACAATAGAACTCAATAACGTTCAAAATCACAAATTTAATGAACTATCAAATTTCAGTGCACCGGCGACCACAAGTCCTTTTTTAAAATACTGTTGCTGTGCAGGGCGTGGCCTGGATGGTGGCGCGGGGCTACTGCCTAGTAGAAGTGTGTGCGTGAGAGAGATGTGTGCTGTTGCAGGGGCGTGGCCGGGATGGTGGCGCTGGCTTACTTGCCCCTAGTCAGAAGTGTGTGCGTTGAGAGAAGAGTGTGTGCTTGTGCAGGGGCGTGGCCGTGAATGGTTGGCGCTGACTTACTGCCCCTAGTAAGAAGTGTGTGCGTTGAGAGAGGTGTGTGGCTTTGCAGGTCGTGGCCGTGGATTGGTGGCGCTGGGGTACTAGCCCCTAGTAAAGAAGTGTTGCGTTGAGAGAGGGTGGTGCTGTGCGGGGCGTGGCCGTGGATTGGTTGGCGCTGGGACTACCCTGCCCCTAGTAAGGAAGTGTGTGCGTTGAGAGAGGGTGTGTGCTCTGCAGGGGCGTGGCCGTGGGATTGGTTGGGCTGGGCACTGCCCCCTAGTAAGAAGTGTTGTGCGTTGAGAGAGGTGTGGCTGTTGGCAGGGGCGTGGCGTGGATGGTGGCGCTGGGTAACTGCCCTAGTCAGAAGTGTGTTGCCGTGAGAGAGGTGTGTGCTGTGCAGGGGCGTGGCCGTGGATGGTGGCGCTGGGGCTACTGCCTAGTAAGAAGTGTGTCCGTTGAAGAGGGTGTGGTGCTCGTGCAGGGGCGTGGCCGTGGATGTGCGGCTGGGCTACTGCCCTAGTCAGAAGTGTGTGCGTTGAGAAGGTGTGTGCTTGCAGGGCGTGGCCGTGGATGGTGGCGCTGAGCTCTGCCCCTTTAGTAGAGTGTGTGCGTTGAGAGAGGGTGTTGTGCTGTGCAGGGGCGTTGCCGTGGTGGTGGCGCTGGGCTACTTGCCCCTAGTAAAGTTGGCGTTGAGAGAGGGTGTGTGCTGTGCAGGGCGTGGCCGTGGATGGTGGCGCTGTGGTATTGCCCCTAGTAAGAGTGGGTGCGTTGAGAGAGAGTGTGTGCTGTGCAGGGGCGTTGGCGGTGGATGGGTCGCTGGGCTACTGCCCCTAGTAAGAGTGTGTGCGTTGAGAGAGAGTGTGTGCTGTGCAGGGGCGTGGCCGTGGATGGTGGCGCTGGGCTACCGGCCGTCTGCGCGCTCCACGTCCAAAGCCCCGCGCTTCCTGTGCGGCGCGTCGCTCATCTCGCTGCGTCACGTGCTCACCGCCGCGCACTGCGTCTACAACCGACAGGACCTGTGAGTACTCCCACACACCCATCGTATGACCACTGCTATGGTCATTAGTCTCGTAGGTGGAGTGCATGGTTTTTATCACAGGAGGTGGCGGTGAACTTCACGCACTGGATGGTCGGATCCGGCGCCGACATAGAGTGCATGGACGCATTTTTTACCCTGTCTATTAAAATTTTGAATATCTTCACGTGTACCTCAGATTGCATCCTCGATGGAAACTACACATAATCCTCATGCCAATACTCAATATAGTTTGGAACGTCCGCGACCAGAATTCATTGATTAGTCTCCATAGCCTGAATGGAATGTAAAATAGTAGGAATGATAAATACAGTAGACAGGGTAAATAAATAGACAGGGTAAAAGTCTACATGGTATCAACGGGTTCTAGCGGCCAGCTGCTCTGATCAGTAGTTTTTTGTGGTTTCAAATAGAAACAACCAGGGACCGCGCGCGATCTTTCCTTCCTCTTCCTCGTCATATCCTCGCCGTTACTTACACACACTTACATGCACCAGACTATTACACATGGGGGAGACCGGCCGGGAGCTTAGACTCCCTACAATTTATTGCCAAATAATTGAGGGTCAATGCTGTATTGACAACATATAGCTGTCAGGATAGCCCGAAATATCTTTATTATGCCTTTATTAACACCAGTAATTTCTGAAAACAACTGGCTCTTAAAAGGCACGTCTTGCAATGTTTCCGTCATTAGGCGAGCATTAACGATTATCTTTCATCTTATCCACACAAAGATGCTTTTTTTCCCAAAACTATTTTTGAAATGCTTTCATCCGTCTCAGCAATAAACTTTTATTTGTATCACCTCTAACCTACCGTTCTTTTAATTCCATTCTATAAGCTATTCGTAGAACACATTCAAAAAATACAAATCCAAAGATGTAGGGGCTTACCCTAATTGTAAAGTACCAGGCTGAGACAAAAATTCGGGTGGGACAAATTCTATCGCACTCTTTTCTTGAAAAGGTTTTGCGCCACAAATTGAGAATGTGTGACTAGATTTGTTGCCTGTTATTATATTTAAGATTTTACCGTCAATTAATGACAAATATAGAATAATGAAACACTTATAGTATGTCTATTGCTAAGCACACTTTCTACTTGGTTGAGTTCATGAATTTCTCTCTCGATGTTTAATTTTTTCTTGAGAACATGCTTGCTTGTTTTCTTTTTATATTCCAATTTAATTGGTCTGCAGAACCTGACTGACGGACTTAGCTGATCGCTCCATAGAATGCTATTGGAACTCAACAAGCGCAAGGGAATAAGTGTTGTGGCAAATATCGTGGATTCTAAGGACTCAGAAAGTGAAGAAGAAATTTGCTTATAGAGACTTTGTTCGGGGCACCCATTAAAGCCGTAACTGGAAATTAGCTATGCATTACAGACAGTTGTATCAGTTAACATTGTTTGGTGAATAATCACATCTTCTTGGAGAAGAACTATTCTCTTTGCTGTATTATTTAACAGGTTCTGTAAGGGTACTTTAGCTACACTATCTGTCACATATAAGCCTGAAGGTCTGCATGTTGCATTTTCGTACGATGGGAAAATATCTGCATTGTGGGTTTTAGATAGTAGCCTTGTGTTTATACACTGTTGCTTGCTCAAATTGTTATCTAATAAACAGGATAATACCTCCTCATCGGATAATGTAACTGGTAGTGTCTTGTTTTAGGATTTAACTTTTTTTTAATTTCGACGGTCTGGTTGCAGTTTCAGTGACTTGATCTTGTACAACAGATAGATATTTCTTCCCCGAAGCTCGAGTCGATATGCTTGCAGCTTTTACCATTAAATTGCCTGATGGTCGTTTTCGAAGGACAACTTGGCAGGCACGTATCGTTTGGACACAGATTTCTCATCGTAGGAACGAAGAGGTCGCCCTGTTCGAGATTTGTTTTCATGCGGTTCAGACATTGTGCTCTGAAGGCACACGAAATCCCCAGAAAGCCATTCAGAATTTTTTGATAAGAACGTCTTTAGTGTTCGATGACCTTCCTCTCTTCTATTAATTTTGTGGCAAAAATCTTTTGTTTTTATCTCCAAACTCTTCAAAAGGTCTTCAGAGACATTATTACCATAACATGCACTGACAATATAATTGAGCACTACTCATTTTTGCGTCTCTTTTATCTCAACTGAATGCCACACAATGAATAGTTCTTATCGATTAATACGACACACTCCTGAAAAGACACAAATGGCGTGTAAAGCGGCAGGTAGCGGCAGCTAAAATTATGTAAAACATTACCTCCTTTAGTTAAATAATAATTTAGAAATTTATTCTGCGTAGCAAACGGAAACATGTTAGATATAAGCCAATGTAAACACTATCATAACCTAAAATATGGTAAGTTACAGAATATGTTTATGGCACGAATATTACGCGATGTGAATAACGACACCTATTTTTATTATTAGAAGTAATAAAGCTTACCTTCACTGTCAATATCCACACTGCCAACACCAAAATACTGCTAAAAGAAACAAAATACTCTGTACTTTCACACTTATCGCAATTACGCCTTACAACTTGCTTCCCGAAGTTCTAACTACCAGCACCATATACATAATACCAGGTCACCCAACTTGAGTAATAATATCGATTTATTATGCTTTGATTATAATAGAATACTTATATTCCTGTTAATTTGTAATATGTTGTAACTAATTTTTTGACTTTTGGCCAAGAATTAGTCCCTTTTATCCCAACGTGCGCTGGTGGGAGATACCTGGTTGGAGGAAACCCCGCCAGCCGTCGTTTATGTCGGCGGCGGATGTCGCCCTCCGGCTAGGGGAGTTCTGGCGCGAGAAAAGCATGCACTGCCCTCGTGGACTAACAACTTGGTTGCCGAGGCGCCCTCAGTGGAAATGTTTGCTGCGCAGGTACTTCGTGCGCCTGGGGGAGCACGACCTGGAGTCGGAGGCGGACGGCGCCAGCCCCGAGGACGTGGCCATCCGCGACCGCCGCGTGCACGAGGGCTACAACCCCAACTCCTTCGTCAACGACATCGCGCTGCTCACCCTCGAGCGCGACATCACGCCCACGCGTAAGCGACGCACGCCCGCGCTTCGGGCGAACGCGCAGTTTTCCCCTTTCACTCGGGCGACGTTTTCACTTTAGCTCAGGGGCTGCTTTTAGGCGCGAGCATCTTTTACATGCAGTAAGTTCACTGCAAGGGACTTCGTTCAAAGGATTTTTTTTTTCTCTTGATAAATCCGTGGCTTCAATCGCGTGCTAGCTCTCTAGCGGAGATACTTACAAATGACGAATCTTCTCTCTGCAGGCTTTTTAGCTTTTTACAAGAGACTATCATCTACAGCCTTATCTGCGAGAAGAGGATAATGCCAGTTCTTTGGCTTTTAGTTGAAGTTTTTAATTTATCTACTGGCTTTTTTTGCTGAACCGTTTTATAATTGGACTCGTCCTTTTTCAGTTTTACTTCCATTTTACTGTGCATTTTAGAAAAAACTGTTTAGCTTGACACTGCCACTGTGCGTACTGGTCGTAAAATGACTTGGCACGAGCGCCAATGAGCTTAGCTGTTGACGTGAACTCGGTCATCAGCGAGTGTGTGTGTGTGTGTGTATGTGTCGCAGCGGCCATCCACCCCATCTGCCTGCCGCTGGCGCCGGCGCAGCGCGAGCGCAACCTCGTGGGCTCCATGCCCTTCATTGCCGGCTGGGGCGCCAAGCACTTCAGTGAGTAGCTCGCATGGATTGATTGCTTCGACTGCTCACAGCAATTGAGGCAGAGCATTCTTTTATCGCGGGAGGAGGCGGTGACCTCCCGCTGCGCCGACCTACGTCAGCTTAGGGAATTTCCCTAAGCCAGGTATCTCCCACCAGCGGGGCTCCGCCCCACCAGGGCGAGCTCTAAGCTCTCAACTGGTCTCCCACTATTGTAGTGCATAAAAATGTCAGTGTGTTTAAGTAATGATAGGATATTGAAGAGGAAGGAAAGTTCGCGTAATCCGTGACCCGTTTGTTAGGATACTGCTCCCGCGTTCTCCTGGTGTTGAACGGAGAAACCATCAAAACTCCCGACCAGAGCAGCCGGCCGCTAGAATTCTCTTCCAAGCAGCGAGTGAATTCGACCTAGCTAGCTATCTAGCTAGCGCCGAAAATCCTGTCACTGCCGGGACCGGAACTCTAGACTTCCCGTTAATAGGCACTGCAGTGATATCCATTGAATCGTTTATTTCAGAAACCCCCTCAAAATCTAAAACGCGCATCAGCGATAAATTATTGTTTCAAGAGGATAGATACATCGATTAGTGCATATTTATATGAAAAATATTTATCAACTGCGTTAATAAGTAAAACTATTTTGAAATCTGATTAATTGGGAAACTTTTTGTCAGTTTTCTCAAATTAGTAATTTGGCATTTGACGGATTTCTGAAATAAACGATTGAATTGATACCTTGAGTCACCTAAGCCGGTCAGATACTTAAACATTCCAAACTTTCAGTTTTCGTGGTGTTTTTTTGTTGTTGTTTTTTACTTTCTAAAGTTATGTGTACTACATTTATTTTTCAAAACAAGTCCTATTTTATTTTTCTACGTCCATCTAAGTTGCTTTAGTAAAAATTAAACGTCAAAAGGGGAAGGACGGAGAGACGGAAGGCGTTCAGTATTCAAAAATTGTTTTTTTAAAATTTTAAGTGATAGAATTCTTTACCATTTTCTATTTTAAACTATTATGACGATTGCCTTGCGTCCGTTCTGGTTTGGTGTTTTTCAATGAGAATGCAAAGGCAATCGATCTCTCGAGCAAGTTGTAGGTTTTTTTTTTTTTTTGCTTATTTAAGGTCGCATCAACTACTAGGTCATTAGCGACCACTATTGCTTGTAACGGTATGGTAACTGTGGGTTGATACGATAATGATGATGATAGGAGGTGAAAGGACGAAACACAATACAACCATGCCCGAGGCGGGACTCAAACCCGCGATCCTTCGGTCCGAGTTCGCTACGGCACTACTGCCTTAGCGATCTCGGCCACCGGATCGGCAAGTTGTAGGTTGTTACCTATAAGTTTAAAATGTTAATGCAACATTTTAACAAAAACTAAGAAATATAGTAATAAACTTTCTCAAGATTAACTAGTTATGTCGTTATCTTTATACTAAATCATTCTCTTTAATATATGTATGTACGAAGAGAAATATGAAAAGAAAAGTGAGTAAAAAATGTGTTTTAAGGTCGCATCAACTTTAGGTCCTTTGCGACCACATTATTGATTTTAACGTTAGGGTATCACTAAGAATAGACAGTCAGTTGTCAAGAGAACGATTAAAAAGCATCTCCGCGTACGCGCCTCTTTACAGCGCTCTTGTGTCACTACCCAGCGGCCAGAATGGGGAAGGAATTAAGACAGTGGTAGGATTTAGGTTATTTCACAGGGGTGGACTTGCTCATGGAAAGCAGCCAAGCTCGTTTTCTCGGAACAAATTTCACATGAGATTGTCCGGGGATCGAACCCCCCAATTCGAATCAAATCGAATCGAATTGGTCACAACAATATTTGTTAACTCACAAAACCGAATAATAATTGTTTGATAAGAATGAAAATAGTTCAGGTCGTGAAGAAAACACTGATTTACGCTGCAACTTTATTAGCTGCAATTCTCACCGAGAAAATATTCTTTGAACATTGCTCCGCCTCCGGTTCCCCTTGAGGCTATTGACACCTTAGAAATAGATGCGGCCTCCGACAGACGATGTTCTAGTTGACAGCAAAGCCTTTCATAGTCTAAAAATGTACTTCCTTAATCTTATAGTCCAGTCAAATGGTGCTCAAAACGGCAAAGAGATGTAGGTTTTGTCTGGTATTCACATTGGTTTTTCATTATGTTTTTTGTCGTTGAACACATCAGGTTTGCCAATAAGAATTATGTCTGAAAACATGTTTTTAAGAAAAAATCTGTAAGAGATGTGTAAATGTGTAAGAGATTACTTTTTATATATATATGCCAATAACTCAAAATACTCATTTTTGTAAGTAATGGCCCTATATGAAATGAAATGAAATATTACCTACATTTAAAGTTCTTAAGTCCCTTTTCTCTAATCAACACTTATCGTACTCTATCTCAAAATAACTCAAAGACGTTAATTTTTCGTAAATGTTGGCTGCGCCTGCAATGAAATGAATTTTATATATATATATATATATATATATATATATATATATATATATATATATATATATATATATATAATGTTGCTAATTGCAACAACTTCCAAGCATTGATATCATTGAATAAGTTAACATATCCTTTGCTTTTACACCTATGCCATCTTTTGCTATAACTGTTTCCACTTCATTTCATCTCATCTGCTTGGAGTCATACAGTCTCACAGAGCTTTGACTGTTTCGTGACATAAAACTAATAAATAGGTATCACAGTAGCATCCAGGCATATTCTGCCCACTTGAGGCGGTTCCATTGACCATAGAGAAAACAGCAATACATAAAATGAGGTAATTTTATCCTCTTGCAATTTATGTCAGGTTAAAAGTTAACAAAAGTGGGTAGGTTTTAAGTTATAATGAAATGAAGTATGATAGTTGTCATTTTTTCGCATTAATTGTCGTTTTTTTTATTTATAAGAAACTGAAGAAAAAAACTGTGATTTTTATACATGCTTGAAAACGCGTTTCCGGACAAATTTCGTGTTAGCAATCCTGATATTCCTGTTTAGCGACCAAAAAACATAGGAACATTATAGGTACAAATATCAAAACTACACAAGAACGTTCTCTTATTTTCTGCCATTTGACCGGACAGACCTGTATGTGTATTAGTGCTACAAAACCAAATCTATCAATTATTGCTGTTGTTTTTGGAGTCAGGTCTTTAGTTTTTCTAATTAATTCTCTGTCAGTTCAAGATTTCGTGTAGTTGGCACTTCAATAATTAAATATTAATTTTGCAATAAAAATTGTAATACTATGAAAAATACATAATTGTAAACTTTTATTGCTAGAAGTGGGTATCAGGCACTTTCCTTTAATTTTGTTTTGATTTCAAAACATTTCCTAGGGATGCTGAAAATGTGCACGTTGCATTACAAATAGAAATGATTTTAATTACGTTGTATACAAAAGTATAATAGAGCCGGTCCGAATAGTCGAGATCTTTAAGGCAGATGTGCCGTGGCGATCTACGGACCGAAAGATCGTGAGTTCGAGTCCCGTCTGGGGCATGGTTCTATTGTGTTCGTCCTTTCACCCCTATTATCACCATATTATGTCATCTTCACAGTTACCATACCGACAAATGCAATAGTGGTCCATAATGACCTAGAGGTTGATGCGACCTTAAATACTAAAAAAAAGTGTAATTGTATAAATTAAAGAACAAGTGTTTTCAAGGTATCTCAGTTGTTATTAGCTTAAGAAATGTATTTACCTAATTTTTCTTATTAACCTACCATTTTCGATATCAGAGATAAATATTGATTCCATCTTTATTAAACAATATGAATAACTGGAAACCTGAATATTTTTCTTTAGGTGGGCCATCAAGTTCTGAACTGCTGGAGCTTCAAATACCCGTTGTGACCCAGGAGAAATGTAAGACAGCTTTCGAAAGATTCAAAACAGCCGTTATCGATGAGAGAGTCCTATGTGCTGGATATGAAAAAGGAGGAAAAGATGCCTGCCAGGTATTTTATAGTTTCTAATAAGCTTACTTTTAAGGGCAGAAGGGCAATGTTTTCAGGCAGCCACCGCAAAAGCTGTTCTTAGAGCGCATGCGTAGCGTGCTAAATGTTCAATTTTTAGCACTAGTGCTTAAAGCGAGACGATGCTCAAGTGTTCAGATAAATCTGTGAATGCACCAAAGAAAACAAAATCCTGTCGTCTGAGCGCATCATCTACTTCTGACCTTAACTTATTAAGTGATTTGTTCCTTTGAATTAAAATAAAGTCAGTAAGGCTGTTGTATATATAATTAGTGTATGATACGAGTGGTAAAAGTGATTTTATTCTGCTCGTAGCATTGCGCTGCACGGCCTTTCGACCTCGTCAATTTTACCACTCGTATCACAAATACCTACTATACTTCTTAAATATAATTCAAAGTTCATGTTGCAAAATGCAGATTTATTTCGTTATGCAAGAAATCTTCATAAAAGGGCATTTTATGGCGCCGCCCGTCCTCCCAGCACGTTGTAACATTTTTTGTATTTGCATGTTTATTATCGTTTCTTATACAAATAACGAGTATTGTTCCTCATTTGTTTTCATTTCGTTAGCAACGTGGATGGTGATTATGGCGAGGTTCAGAGAATTGGATCTTGTACGATTGGTAAAGAATATTGTACAATGTCAAAATACAGAAGTGAAATTGATATTTTAAGTCAAATAATACACAAGGAGATTTAAATAACGAATTTTAAAGAACCTACAAGAAGGTGTTAGTAAGTAGTATGAACTACGAACCATAAGTATTGAACTGAAACGTTACACCGTCCTCCGTGCCCGTCCTCCTCCTCTGCCGTTATGCCCGCCCTCACCGTCCCTTTCCACCATCCGTCCTCACTGCCCGACCTCAACGCTTGTCCTTCCTGCCCGTACGCTCTTCGAGACGTCGTTGTAACATCTCACGTTGCCAACTGCCAAAGTGCTTTAGACATTTTGTTTATAAAATTTATTTTGGTTCTTTTATAAATTTACAATGCTGTTATTCAAAAAAATTGCTCGTGTATTCGTTTATAATGTTGCTCTGTTATAATCGAACATATTTGAAACCTCGCTCTGTACGTCACTCGTTTTCAAAACTTACTTATGTAATAAAGCATACACAACACTAGAAACTATGAAATAATGACAATAACAATAATAATGTAGTTGCGTAATATACTAATATTGTTTCTTGGTCAAGAAACCAAGCAAAATATTAATCTCGAGAAATAAAATGAACATTCATGGTTTAGAGGACATTACATTCGAAACTAATGGCACAACAACAGCACACATTTCTTGTATTATTTGCCTCTTCACCAACATGGACATTTGTAGTGCAGCGTCAACTGCGCTCTAAAAGTTTTATGTAATACAAGACGCTAGTCCTAAAAAGAATTACTTAAATAATATAAATATTCCAAACTAATCAGATTAGCTGTTACGCTTAATGTCGAGACAAAGCGATTAACTTTTAAACAGAATTACTACCTCTAAATTTTATGAAGAACTTCATTGTCCATGTTGGGACAGTAGTAAACGATAAGTTATACAAAAGAATTACACAGTATCTTTAAATTTTGTTTATACAGCGCATAAATTCACAATAAGCTGATCTAAACTAAAGAATATTTCATAATATATAATTGTGACCATTACATTATTACATACAAAAAATATTATACATAATTTTGACACACTTATGGTCGCAAAAACATTTTTGTGACTGTATAAGAGAAGTAAACACTCACGTACTATGAATATTGCATATGATTTATTTAGATACATATTTCGATGAAAAATAATACGAAAACCTTTAATTTGTTAAAATGTTCATATATTTGTATTGACGCAACGAAACAATTTCTGCATTTTATGATACCTACAAACGTTGCCTTTTCTGTATTACATACTTTAGTATCTTGCTAAATAATATGAATTAATTATTTGTTTTCAAAATATAGATTAGAATATATCCATTTTACAGGGTTGACCGAGTTACTTCAATGGTACAGGAAACTACTTTCCACTATGTTTTTGTATTGTTTGTATCAATGCAAACGTTTCTTGTCATAAATTCATAAGCCATTCTTATGTATTTTTCCTCATTCATCATACGTTACTCATAAGACCACAGTTTATTTTCCCTGGGCAGCTCCAATCACCGATTTGATGACATTGCCTTTATCATTAGGAAGATAAGTGTAATATACCTCCTTTTACATTTCTTACAAAATGGTATATCAACTTAGTATATAAATTTATCAGTAAATGCCGGCCGGTACTCCTGGGCATTGGGTTCGCACTGATTTACAACACATTTCATTCGACTGTAGATGAGCACAAACAGCTTCAATTCTCAAAAACAAATTATTTTTCTTGGTCGAACAATGACAATCTTTGAGCACCTGTAATCCTTTGTCTGAAAAAGAAAAGCAGTTATTTTATGGACCTTTCCTAAAGCCTTTTTCAACTGTCAGTCAAGATACGCTATCGTCTTCGGAACTCACTTTGTTAAGTTCTTGGGGATAATTGTGTCCATTGGGTGTTACATGATGACAAAGTCTACAATAATTTTCACAACCTTACTATTCCAAAAAACTTCAATATGCCTATTGCAAAAACTTGTCTAAGCTCAATTAATTACGTCGGTAATTAATTATGTCAACATTCGAGGCATCATCTACCGCGTTGCTTTGCTTTGTACCGAAGGAACAAATTAGCTTTCAGAGTATGAAATGTCTCCGGGGATAATGAGTCTCTCTGGCTGCCCCTAAAGGGAAATGAGGCCTTGAGGAAGGGCTGCCACTGAAAAGTTGAGTGAACGCGTTGGCGACACAATTCTCTTTCCGGCAGGTTGGGAAGGAAAGGACAGTCAACATCGACTGTTACGAGAAATTCGATGATTCGAATGACGCAGAACCGTAGAATGTTGATATTGTCATACCTGTCTACGATGTTTTTATACCATGTTTCGTACAAGATGTTTCACTCTCTTGATGTTGTCTGAACTATTCTTTGGCTCTCATTCTCAAAGTAAATAATTTACAACCGAAAGTCGGTGAACGTTTCATTTACTAACTTAGATCTACATAGTTGTCAACCATCCTTGAACTCGGCTGCTATGCCACGTTAACTACTTCCTAGATCAAACAATTACCAGCAGTATAGGCCTTTGGGAAACGGGTGTGTCACCTCGGGTTCTGAATCGTAAACCCAAGTGTTACTTTCAACTCCTGAATGAACATTTCGGCACCGCGGGTCACCTTGGTGTCGATAGCCTTTCGGCGTGAAAGACGCAAAATGTATTTTCATTAAGCAGTGGAAAGCATCTGCGGCCAAAGAACTAATTGCTGTTAGCCTTTTGGCATCGCCGACGGAATTTGCATATTCACCCAGATGATATTTCTGTTCCTGAGAGATGTGGGCTGTTTTCATTCTAAGCGGTGTCCTGTCTCTAGTGGACCTCTCCCGCTTGTAGTTTCCTTTCGTGTTGGTAAAAAGATGCATCTGCCTGTGGTTGTCAGGGCTCGAGGTGCTTGGTGTTACGATCCGGGGCTAAACTGGAAGGTGGGAGTGGGTTGATGGATCTGGGCGTGGTGAGGTTGAGGAGGCTGGTTGTGGGAGCTGCGGTAGGACGAGTGAATTTGGTGGGTGATACTCGCATAGATTGGTTATTACTTTCTGGTTTTATTGGCTTATTTCTGACTTCTAATATTTAAGGTGTTCTCTTTGTTGCTTTCGTCCCATTCATTTGTTGTTTCTGCTCTTACTGATTTCAGTCGTATTTGTGTGGCCGCATTGTCGATATTGTGTAAACTGTAGATGTATTTGTGTTGCAAAGTATATGGCGAATCTCCGTGAAGTATCGCATTGACTTGTTTCCGTGTTTGTCTTCTTCATTTCTAACATTTCCTAAATTAAATTTGAAGTTTGCACAGATAAATGAGGCTTCGGGGCATAAATAATAGTATCTGTCATTTTGGAATTAATCCAAATGTTTGGCTTGATATTTTATAATGTAAATATTAACACATTGGATCTAGTGAAATGGATTGGATCTTGTAAACATGTTTCAAAAATAGAAGATGCGATTGTGTTGATATCGGTTGCCTTCCATGAACCGTGCGTGGCGTTGCAGGGCGATTCCGGCGGGCCGCTGATGGCCCCGAACGGGACCACCTACTACCAGATCGGAGTCGTCTCCTACGGCTACCGCTGCGCTGAGCCGGGAGTGCCGGGCGTCTACACAAGAGTCACGTACTTTCTGGACTGGATAGTGAAGAATATGAAGTAATGCTGCTGAAAACATCATTTTGTTCTGATAGCTCTCTTATTCCTAATGAATAGTCTACGTGAAAATAATTGAATTTATGATTTTTTTTTTTCCATAACTTGTACTGCTAGTTTGATTACGATGGTAAGGTACCGTATTTCAAATTAGTGAGATTTTGCACATTGTATTGTGAAACTGTATGATGAATGTTAGATACAACTACGAGACTTGTATCGTTTAAAGTCTTAGAAGCATTTTGTATAACGTTTTCATTTGTAGTTTACGATAAATGGGAGCACTTTCGAACTGTGTCGTGAGTGTGGCTCACGCTACCATGCCCCCTCCTCTTGATTTGCATTTTGTGCGACTTGAGGCACAGAGTACGTTGTCCGGCAGCATGACAATGGGTACAGGTAATGCAGGATGTTCGGGGAGGGAACGCCGAAAATAAGCGCTTAAGACAATTTTAAGCAAATTTTGTCTCATAGAGTCCTTGGGCATTCCAAATGGCTAAACACTGAACAGTTGGTTTGAAAAAATACTTTCTATGCAAAAATTTGCATTTTAGTAACATAAATACTCTAGAAACATGTGAATATTTTTTTGTGTTCATATATTAATATTTTTCTTTGTGAACAAATGTATTCATTTCTTTTATAAATAATAAAGAATTTAATGTTTCTTGAGTGTTTATATGTTTCTGAAATGCACATTTTTTAATAGAAAGTGTTTTTTCAAACCAACTTTTGAATGCTTATTGGAGTTTAGCCATTGGCAATATGCAAGGAGTTTATTAGACAAAAAATATTTAAAATTGTCTTAAGAGATTATTTTCGAGCTTTTTTCCTCTCTGGTCATTCCGTGTCACTTCGATTGGAAACAAATTCCATTTATCGTGATTACTTGACTTGTAACACGCTCACAAGTCACTGGAATATCCTCGCTGATAGTGTAGCTTTTCCCGTTATAAGTTATCATTATGTTAAATTTTGTGTGTGATCTCAAGTGAGCTCGTTGTGTATGTGCTAAAACTCTCTATTGTTGGAAGGAAATCTATTATCTCAGATTACTTTTCAAAAAAAATTCTCAATAGCTCAGTTGACTCTTGACGCTTCAGAGAATACTTATGGAGAAAAATAGAGCAAGGCATATCATTTTAAATTTAAAAAAACATTTTCTAAATTGAATTATTTACAAAAATAATTATGTCATTTATTTTTGTTATTTTCTAATTGTGCATTTAATTTTTAAAGAGAATGAAAAGAAAACCTTGAAAATATATATTTATTTTAATCTTTCTATTGATATTTATATTTTTAATTATGAAAGTAGTGTGACATTAAACTCTGTGCCAACATTTCAAGTATTCAAATCTGAAAAAAGTGTTATGTGTTAATGTATGAAAATAAATTCACAAAAGTAAATATTTTTGAAATATTTATATTTTTCTGAATGTTTGTACAGTATCTGTGTCCTGACCTACATGTTTGTATGTAAGCACTCTTCAGTGTAAAATTGTATAGACTGGTTTTCAAAACAATACAAAATGCATTAAACATTTTTTACGCATTACGTATATGGAAGAATAATGATATTTATTAATAACCATTAATTTTACAAGTAGGCAATGTTTTATAACCTAAGGCTATATATTAAATTTGCATGAAAAAAATTACAATGCATAGACAATCAATGTTTGGTCTTCTTCTGGTGATGTCTTACAACTGTCTGTATCAAATTATTAGTCATTAGTAAAATAAAAATAATAATGAAACATTAGCAATCACATTTTTTACTGATTGATATTGGTTACAACTTTTAAATATTATTCTGCCATAATTGTTTTTATTATATTTTCTTCAATTGGGAATGATACTGGATTTACTGATTCTTTGGATGAAATTTCTCTTAAAATATATTTCCTAACTGACATTCACCAGTTCAAGCAGTCATGTTAAGTAAAAATATATTTTAAAGAAGTGTTTTACATAAAATGTTATTTAATTCAAAATACTTCATACCTCAGTAAAGTTTTCAGTATTGTAAGCAAATTATGCTAATAAAAAGGGTGTGTGCATGGAATAAGAAATCTTTTCACGAAGACACTTTTCCACTCTCTACCTTGCTCCACCTCCATTGAGCAGCATAAGCTGAAAGGAAAAGATTCCGCTTTGAAGCCACATTTCAAACTCTGTGCTACAGCTGCAACTTAATGATGTGCCAGTAAAGCAATTCTACAATAATCTTGTGATATTAAAATATATATTGCAAAACATTGTTAAATCATCACAATTTTGTAAATTTGTAAACTGAGGTAAGATCATTGTTCCACTTACTGTGTTTGAAGAATTGTAGTCTCTCTTAAGATGTATAGTATGAAACTAAGAATGAGCCATGTTGAATGTAATTTGTGCTATTAATTATAAGTTTACATTTTTGTAAGGAATACAATTTGAATGCCTTGTAGTGAGTATTGTCTGATAAATGATATTAACCAGATGTAGTTACTTTGAAGGTGAAGGTGTGCTCAAATAAGAATTATATTTCTTCTATTGCCATTAAACAAATTTGTTTGAAAATCAATTAATAATTGAAAATGAAAACTTGTAATTTCCTTCAATATTCAGACATATTTAAAATTTGTTATTATTATCTTGCAAATTTGTTTTAACAATTATAATTTAACAGTTAAATTATTTAAAATAAACTTCAACAAAATTCAATTAATATCTTTTAATTTAATGTATTTAATTTATTCCCTTATAACTTTAAAATTTGTTATATTGGAAAAACCACTGATTTGTATGAATTCAATACAAAAGTAATTTGACAAAAATTGACATGGTATTGAATTGATAGCCTACCTGTTATTCTTGATTATATTTAGTAATTGTTTTAAAAAGTTACTTTCTGTGATTGTATTCTCAGATGTCTCATGTAAATTTACATTATACTAGACAGTATTATTTCATCTTGGCAAATATTGTCATTTAAAAATTTGGACAAATTTGCAAATTGATCCATCTTTCTTCAGTATTAACTAATATTCAATACTTCATTCAACATTTACACTTAATATATTTAATATATTGTATACATCTGTTGTTGTGAATAAATATTTATTTTAATCAAGAGTTTTCTTTGATAAAAATTGTATATTTTTATCAGATATAGAATTATCTGTATTAAATTATTATATTTTCCTAATTTAAGATATGTCAAGTCTGACAAACTTCCAGATGTCAGAAATTGTACTTAAGATTGGCCCAGAGGAGTGTCTTTTGTAAACAGCATGTAACACAAACATGTTATTCTCTTATCCAGTGGCATAGGCTTAATGTATGTGAGTGACATGTTGCAAGTTTTGAACTGCCAATTCGAGATTGACCCCTGTGACTTTAAACTTATTTCGTTTCTGTTAGTAAGGACTGCTTACTAGAACAGCATTTAACCATGAAAGGACTGGGACAGTAACAAGATATGCCATAAGAAGCCTCCCTCCTTTTGCAATTTTAATATTATGATTTTTGTCAAAGTCTATCTCATATTGTTACCACCCAAAGCCCTTCAAAAATTTTAATAAGACTGTTATGAAATTCATGATTGAAAGAGCGCCTATTTAGGTGCCCTGGTGTCAATTGTCTATCATTCATCTTGAACCTGCTATCATAAAAACTCAAGTGCTAACACACACATATATATCTACTATAATATAATATATATATATATTATA